CTTGACAGATGGGGGCGTTGTAAAAAGTTTGGCAACCCCTGCTCTAGTACGATCCATGCGAACATTCCGCACTTAGCAAAATCGTTGTTTCCAGAATTCACATAGGTCATACTGGTACCGAACTACGTACGGCCTGGCCTTTAAATGGGTGTTATGTCATGACGACCCGATACTCGGCTTGAGTGAACTGTAATATTGCTAACAGTTTATCAGTTTGTTAATAACAGAAAGGAAAGAAACAATAAAACAAACAAAAGGACCAGTGAGATTAAATCTATCACACTTTTAAAAAGTCAATTTAATTTGACATAGATATCGATATGATGTTCAGGAAGTTCGAATTGGACATGGACTATCAGGAGAAACTTCAATTACGTCCGGAGTCCCCCAGGGAAGTGTCTTAAGGCCGCTCTTATTTTTGGCATTCATTATTGATCCTCAATGTTTTATTACGTCGAGATCACACTTATTTGCAGATAATTGTATAATTTATCGGCAAATAGATTCGGATAATAAACTATCTAGATGCATACATTACTGTGTTAGCATAAAGAAAATTTAAAAAAAGCCGTAAAAAGTGAATCACTGAGCCTTTGTAAAATAATAACGAACCTTTGTTTCGAATATCACAAGGGAGGGGTATACATTCCACAAGTATCGTATTATATCTGGGAGTTACATTGCTCCAGGACCTGAGACGGAAGGATCACGTTACTTTTGTGAAAGAAAAGCGTGGAAGTCACTTCATTTTGTAAAGAGAACACTCAAAAATGCAACATGAAGAGTTAAAAAATAGGATAGTTAGTTAGTTAGTTAGGGCAATACATGAATATGCGTCAACTGGTTGGGACTCCTACAGATTATGTCTGATTGGAGAGTTAGAAAAATTCAAAAATGCATTCAAAATCGTAAATAAAAATGTTCGAGAAGTTCAAACCCCCAAATTCCATAGAAGCACTCAATTAATATAGAATAAAGACCAGGTTCTGCTGCCTCTTCAAGGCGTAAAACAAATCGCCTCCATGGATAGAAGTAACAAAAAGACGTGACATTCCTTCAGGAATTGGGAGATATGATCACAAATTCAAAATAAATAGTAGATCTCACCTACGGAAACATTCATTTGTAAATCGTACAATTATAAATTGAATGAAAATTTGCCAAAAGTCTTCCTTACTCCCACGCGTGGATAATAAGTAAAAAAAAGACCCAAGCCTGGGATCACTGCAAGCTGCCAGAAGTAGGATCACTCCGATCCACAAATGTCAAATATCACGCACTAAATATCGGTGGTCTGTAATACAATTTCACTAGTCAATCGTAATCAGTACAAATACCTTTCTAATGATACTTTCCTTACAAGGTTAAATACAAAGAATTTCTCCAATAGAAAAAATAAATAGGATACCGATCTTTTGTTTGAAACGCAAGCATGCAACAAATAGCACAAGTCGCCGCTGGTGAAGACAATTTATGTGCAGAACGATCCCGCGTGATTTGGGAACATGAATGCAGAACAGGTTTGCGACGTCGCTATCTCAGTGTAATTATTTGTTTTTTTACTTTTCATTATAAGAGTCCTAATAATGTAGCTTGTGACAAACAACAATCCAGTTTTTTTATGAAACCTTCATTTTTAAGGAGTTATAAAGACTTTTATTTTTCTTATTTTTGTATTTCTTTCATGAAACCAGTTGGTGAAAACATTAATAGGTTTTTTCTGACACTTTATTGCGTCAAAACTCTTCGCTGATTAATTGTGTATTTATTGTTTCTTGCGAAGCTATGTAGAAGCTGCAGAAAATCTATAGAATTTTCACGAAAATACACGTTTTGGTGTCCCTGATCCTCATAAAGTTTTTTTTTTGTCAAAACGTCCATCCATCTGTCCGTCTGTTCGCTAGTCCGCCTGCCCATCTGTCCGCTTGTCGTCTGTCCACTAGCGTCTAAATAATTCATAGGTTTTTCTAAAAAATAAATATTCCCGATCGATCTATCTATACTTTAAGTCCTAAAATTTTGAAAATAGTTCTTGAAATTTTTAGGACAAAATTTTCACATGAAGTCCCTGTGATATTTCCAAACTTTTCTCTAAAATCGCTTGACATTTTTTCTTTAAATTTCTTGTAAATTTGTCTGAAATAACGAAAAACGCATTGTTAACAAATTATCGCCTCTTCAAACAATATAATATGTTTTACTGCTTACGAATATTGTTACAGTAGTCTACGCATACAGCTATCAAACCAGTTATTTATAATTATGACGATATTTCAGGTAAAAGTCGGAGATGTTTGCTTTTCCTTGGAAAATTTTGACATGTTTGCTTTTACCCGTAGCACCTGCGTACATGTGTGCTTTTGCACAAAATAGAGTTACTATTACAATCACATTTGTTTGGAATAAATTAGTTTACTGCAGTTTGTATACAAATATTTTATTTTTCTCAAACAGACAAAACTACAATTTCTGTAGCAAATGTAACGTTTTTTGGTCTCCAAATAAATTACACAGAACTAAAAAAGTTCAAAACTATAAGTGCCGCTCACGATCTTTAAGTACATAAAGCACTATAAATCTAGATAATTCCCACTTGATATACACCTCTAATTAATTTACTGTAGCGAAGTTGAAGACCCTGAAAGTCCACCTCATCCACTTCATCTCAAGTCCGACATTTTTCGAACGTTGAATTTAAGGTCGACAGGATACACGTGCTGTATTTGCCTGCTACAGTATTTTTTTAAGTTAAAACTGTGATATTATTACCACTCCCGTCGAGATAAATTAAAAAATATATTATTTAACAATTTCCTTTCTGTCTACCGGTGAGAAAATAATTAGTGGTTTATTAAAACTTTATTGCCTTATCGATTTCGTTATAACACCTGGCCGCGAACTATGTTGCAAGTTGATGCTGAATACACATTGTTTTAGAACAAATGTTACAAACCTCCATGATATGTGGGGGGCGGGGAGGAGATGATAACTTTCGCCCCTAAACGTTAGGCAACTCCCAATGCACTAATGTTCGGCATGCCACGTTTTGAGGCAAAGAAATTTCGGGTACCTGCCGAACTCCAGCGCATGCGGAATTGCGAAACAATCACGGACAAATGTCATAGGTGATTGTTAGGCGGATTCTCTCGTACAAATGTTCGGCGGGTCACGTTTAAAAATGTGTTCATCTTCAATCCCTCTACAACTCTTAGAAGTTCGTAACGTTTATTCTGGGACATTCTGTATACAGGCAACTTTTCGTGCACCGGCATCCGGCAGATTCACGAAATCTCTTTGCATCAGAACGTGACCTGAACAATACTACTGCCTGGAGAGTTGCATAACAATCAGGGGCAAACACTTTTCATTGACACAAATAGAAATATGGAGTGCAAATATCTTTCTCTTAAACGCTAAGATTGCAATAAAACGACCAAAAATGTTTCATTTTGTAGATTATGGCAAACACAAAACCCGTGTCCCATAAAAATCTGGATTTAAGGTGAAAAAAAGAAAACGCATCTTTCCAGAATTATGCACGATAGTAGCGATACGATAGTAGCGAGCTGCAGTGTGTTGCGGGTTGCATATGTGCACAATTTTCGTAATTAATTACTAAAATTGGATTGTATGAATTACAATTTCAGCTATTCTATCCCAAAGTAAAAATATCTTTCAAATGATATCGTTGATTCTTAAGAGATTCAGGACTTCGGACGGAATAGGAAAATAGAAATAATATACAGATTGTCAACAATTTAATATATTTTATATTCAAAGTAATGAAAAGAAATCGCTTTAAGAAGACATAAAGTCAGTTGAACACTAAACCCGAAACCTCTCCAAAAAAAGCAGGCGCGCCTCTGCCTTCCGTCTTAATACGCGGCTGTTTCAACTTTTTTCGAGCCTCTATTTAGGGACCTAACCCCCTAACATTTTACTATTTTCATCTTAAAAAACATGAATCTGTCGCTCTATCTCTCCTGTCCCACCACGTCATACTGCTCAGCGACGACTCTGAATGTAATACAACCCGTACTTTCTTTACTCAATGCTAAACATTTAAATCTACCGCGGCGAAATTGGATAATGGATGTTTACGTATTGTACATGTGTTACTGATGTTATTTATTAGGTAAGATACAAACGTATGATATCGTTTTCACAACATTACTTAAATCGTACTAACGGGAGAAGTAATGGTAGAAGAACTGTGAGGGTTTAGGTTTAGGATGTAGATTTTTAACACCATTAAAAAGCAGCACACTGAATATTAAACTTTGTATTTAAAATTAACGATAATGAACCCGTTTAAAGACACTTTTAGGAACTGTTTTTTCAACAAACGTAGTAAGTAATTATATTACAGATTAAAAAGCCGCAGATTTAAAAAAATTAAAAACAATAAAGAGTGCAAAATTTATTTCCCTTAATGTATCAATAGTCTACACACTTTCTTACTTTCCAAAAAAGTTTACCCAAAGGACGTTTTTGTCGCCAACTCAAATACACGTCAATGATAATATAATAGCGCTTGTAGACTATCAAATCGAGGCTAAATACAAGATATTAGTATTTTGAAATAAATATAATTTAGATACATTAACGGTCCGCCCATTTGTCGGTAACTCAGTATACGAATTTTCCGTAATTATTTTAGAAATTGAAATGGTTGTTAAAAGACATCTGGACTATAACGTAGTATTTTGAGATTTTAATTAAAAACTCATTTTCACAGAAAACAACCATTCATAACTTTCCTATAATTTATGAATAAGAAAAGGCTTTACATATTTAACCAATTAATTAAGACGATTAAGTGCTTAATTATTAAAGTTATTAATATTCCGTAAATTAAATTAATATATGATCGATTAATAAATTGGAGACAATACGATAATCATAAAGTTGCATTATAATTTTTCATTTCATACAAACTCTTTGAGCGGAATAAACTCTGAGATAGACTGCTCCCCCACTGCCCTTCCTCTCGCTGGCGAATGCCGTGTGGTTGCGTTGGTGGGCCCCGGCGAAAGCGCAGGCGAAGACTAGTGGACTGGCGGCGGCTGTTGGGATCTGCACCCTGTGGAATGGCTGGAGGAGCTAGCACTTCAGGATTCTGCCCACCAGGAGGTGGTAAAGGGAATATGTCCCTTCAAAGTGAAGAGTGGACAAGTTTAAGGGTCATTGATACTGCTGGGAATTCAATGGTTTTTCGCATCAAACCTTCTTGCCCTCTACAAAAGGTAAAGAAGAGATACTCAGACAAATGCGGTGTGGACATACACACATTAAGATTTTTGTACGAGGGTCGACGAGTCGATGATCAAGACACAGCAATTTCTCTGAAGATAGAGCGAAACGGGATAATAGAGGTTTTTGCGGAGCAGACCGGGGGATCCTTTATCAAGTAAGCTTTATTTTATCGTTACATCAATGAATACGATCTTGTTGAAGCAAACGTGATAGGATTAGTCTACTGCGAAAGTACGGACGTAAATCTTAGTTATTGGATGACATTGGAGGAATAATTGTATTAAATACTGTAATATATTTTGCTACAAATTTTAATGCCTTGATGGGGCAAAACCTCAGAAACTCTAGATTTATTATTATTATTATTATTATTATTATTATTATTATTATTATTATTATTATTATTATTATTGTTATTAATGCATAAAATAATATGGCATGCATGTATAGTGGTAGTGTATGTCAAATCAGTAAGAATGTGCATTGCACAAAATACTTTTGATGAATTTCAATAATATTGACATGTATAATTTGAAATGATCAACATATAACAAATTCTATCTATGATATATTTTCATAATCTATGATTTGTTCACATAATGTACGAAATCTTTAATGAAAGGAGAATACTTAATTAAATGAATGTTTATTTCTGTAATAAATGTTTCAAATGACAAAAACTTAATACTTGATGCACAAAAACCTAGGGGAAAATGAAGGATTCAAAAGAATATTGTTTAGTGTAATTCTTTTTACATCAGGCATGATATCTTCAAAGAAAGTTTGTATTAGGAGAAACAAAGTGAACATGAAATGAAGTTAACTTATTTCATTTAATAAGAGATTCATGAAATGAAATAAATAAATTCATGAAGTAAATAACTTCATAAATTATTTCATTCAACATCAAATGAAATAAATTAACATGAAATAACTTCTCAAATAATTTTGTTTTAACATGTAAAATTTCATATTGGAGTCTGAGTTTTCAGACTGATGCTGTTTTCTATTATTTACAAAGAACAACTCATAAACTGAAACGTAAATGCTATAAATTCTTTAACCAACTGTCTAATAATTAAATATTATTATGTTTGCTGTGGAGGTGGTAAAGGGAAGATGTATAGACAACTTAATTCAAAATAATGTATCAACTTAAGTAACAAGAAACTTGGTTCCCTGTTACATAAAAGGGGGGAAATGGTACTTTTACAAATATGTAATATATAAAATTTCTATTATATTTCTTGTATCATATCTGTGACTGTGAAAAGAATGCTTATCCATATAAAATAAAAATATTCCTCCTTTTCCTCAACAAAATAAAAATAAATAAATAAATAAATGTTCGTAGTGCATTCCAAATTTTTAATTAGGAATTTCATGAATATTGATATTCCTACTGTTTCTTTGGAGTCTCATATTTCTTCTGTCCACTTTCATTTGAATTATGGTGGTTATTTAATAATTCTTGCACATGAAGTTAAGACACTTTATGTATAATATATATGAGAATTAGCATAAAATGATTTGATTATATAAGCATAATATAGTTGTTTCAGATATACAAAGAAAAATGTAATGACCAAGGTTTTTGAAGTTTTGCACCACTTTTGTGGTTTTTATAGTTATAAAATATGTATTTCATTTACAATCATCATTCTAAAATTGTTTATGAACCTCTTTTTCCATATCACTTATTTTGTAATAAATTTCATTTTTTCCAGAAATGAGACATTGCTGAAAGAAATTGCAGCAAACGAGATTCCCAATCTCAAGAACTGATTTCATGCTACAAAACTCCAAAGATGACCAAAAGTGTAAATTTCATTATTTATTATTATTATTATTATTATTATTATTATTATTATTATTATTATTATTAATGGTAATTTTAGGACTTATTGGAAACATGATATACTTCTCTTCTGCTTTTTCAGTAAATCTTACTCTCTCCTTTATTTCTATCCCTCTTTTTGCTTCTCGTCTTCCCTTTTTCCTTCCATTCCTCATTCTCCTCCACTTCTTTTTTTAACATTGTTCCTCATAGACATGTCAAGTTATCAGTTGTTCTTTATTGTTGTTGGTGGTGTTTGTTTGTGTTTTTTTTGCCCTGTACTGGAGGTGATTGGTGAATGAATGATGTTGGAGCAATGGTGGAATGAAAAGCAGGGGACACAAGGGCACAAAAAAATCTGTCAAGAATCTGATTTGTCCACTACAAATAACACTTGGTTCAAACAGAGACTGAACAATAGGAAGATACATTATATATAAATTTTTTTGCCAGCTTTGAGGAAAATTCATTAACTCCTCACATTTCTTTCATGGTGACTCTTCAGTAAATCTGGCCTTTTTTCCCTCCCTTAGCAATGCCACTGAATTCTATGTCCCCCTTTGTTAATCATGGTTCCAATCATTTTTTTTTAAGTTTTATTTTTTGAATTAATTGTGATCTTTTTAACCAATGATGTGCTTGTCAAGAATTTGTATTTTATTTCATTCGATTTAAAAAATGGTTTTGAATGATGTCAACTAATTACATCTGCATTTCACATGTATTAATTTTTGCATACCACTCTTTCAAAACTCACAATTTTATTTTCACTATTGATCTGTTCCTAGTTTTTCCTCAGATTTATACTTCATAGTAGAAAAATACATAATTTAAGCCTTGAGAATAATTTTGGTACTGTTCTGTGTCACTCACCTTCAAAGTTTTGAGAACATAAAGATTCAGTTGGTAAGGAATTACAGTATGTAAGATACAACTTGCTAATCTGTGCAAATTTCTCAATTGTAAAGGCGCCTTAAAGACAATAATCTGGATGTTTGAAAATTTATTTTCCTTGTGAATGCGATTACTGGCCAAAGGAAAGATAAGAGATATGTTAAGATTTGATCACAGGGGAACTTACTGAAATTATCTTGAATGAAGTGGTCACATCTCCCACATTTAACTCTACTCAGTATTGAATTTGAGAAAAGAAAAAATAAATACTTTGCAACAAAAGGGACCCTACTATTAATTACTTTCATTGAAATTCACCCCTATCCCACAAATAAATAGAAATCTCAAAATTTTATTAGCTCATGAAGCTCCAAATTAAAGAGTTCTGAAGGGAAATAGATTGATTTTAAGAAAACAATGACAAAAGGTGAATGGGCCATTGTAAGGTCTCTCCGTAAAATCTTTCAGGAAATATAGAACGCACACAATTCAAAAATTGAGGTTGTATGATTAGTGCTCATGTTCACTCCTACAATTACTTCTTGCAATGCCATGGATATTTAGTAAAGATGAAAGTGATGAATATCTCCAAAATCATTAAAAAGATGAACAAGCAATACCAATTTTGATGGATTGGCAGTACTGAATGCTGAAGGGGACAGTAAATATAAACAATACCAAAATTATTGTAACAGGGGGGTCCAGAGTGTATGACACTAATTGAAAATTACTGGGTAATTTTCAGCCAATAAAATTAGTTCCTTGATTAGGGAATCGTCCATAAATTATATAAAGCTAAAGAGGAGGAGGGTGTTTCAGGCAGTGTTACGCTAAGTTACTTAGGTATAGGAGGTGTTAGTTGAGTATTAAGTGAAGCTGATATCTTTTAAAATATTTTTCAACATTGCTGAAATAAATGATTGCAGAATAAAAAATCCTTTTACTCATTATTATATGAAAACATCTACAAATTAACAAATTATTTTTTTTTAAAATATAAGTAAATTAAAAAGTTATGATGCATAAAATGTTACAATAAACAAATACTTGTCATCAATGGTCAATTGATTGAATCTTAGATTATGAAGAAAATATTCAAAAGAAACAAATATAATAATTCTAGAATCAAATTAAATTTGCACAGTAGTCTCTCACCTATGCATCATCCACAGCAGGGTGTGCACAGATTGTTTTCAGAAATTTTCTTGCCTTTATGCGTTTTTACTTCACTCAAAAATTGTAGACAGTTAGGTACAGTCAGAATTGCCAATTTTTTCAAAGTTTAATTCTCAAAAATTTTATGAAATAACAAATAAAATTAATACAAAAAGTTTTATATAATTTATTTTAACTTCTTATAAATGGAGTAGTCACATAAGCATTGCAAAATTATTTTAGCAGGGGTTCAAGCAGGCGTGACAGGTGAAGTACAAGGGGGGGAGATGATATTCAAAATACTCTGAATTTGTGGCAAGTAAATTATGGACAATTCCTATACAAACAATCCATTAATTTGTATGCAAATGTTTCACAGATTTAACAATTTAAAAAAACAAAACAAAAAAAAGGTTAATGAATAAATGTGGATAATTTTTAATAATCATTTTACACTTTCGTTTTTTGAGCTCTTATTACTATTATATTTAAACAATTTAAAATCACTCAGCCGACCTGGATGGCAGAGGTGGCTAAGAGCATGTACTGAGTTAGCACTTTGGCCCAAAGGGCGCGGGTTCAAGTCTCGCTGTGGGTTTAGTTGTTTGTCCCTTGTATCTTCTGTATGAGTTGACACAGAGGGCCTCGTGTTCTCCTGATCACAGATCAGAGGAACCTGCAAGCGGGTTTGTGACTAGTATATGGCCAAATAAGCGCCCCATCGGAACATGAAGGCTTTTCTAGATAAATGCGCTATGGGAAAAAAATCACTCAGAACTTCTAAAATTCGAATATGTATAATTATTTTTTTCATAATTTTCTGAATAATTTTAAATTAGGTTTTAGAATTTTCTTTTTCTACTATTTCTTTCATTAAAAAAGTTGTCCATAAAGTTCCTGCCTCAAATGCTGACTCTTTCAGTTTATACTCTAATTTGTGTCAAAAATTGTCATTAATTAAACCTGTGATTGCAAGTTCATAAAATTACATTAATGATTATATTGCATATAATATTTCCAATTGCAAATTGTATTAACTCTTGGTTAAACTTCTGAAAGTTTGTATCCCTGTCGATAAATTTTTTAAGAGACTTACAATTTTTATAATAACTTTTGTATAATGATTGAAATAAACCTTCTCAGGTAACTGAGGTGCTCAGACATCTTCAGAGATCTCTGTGAGCCAATGATAAAATAATGTGAAAGTTTTGATAAGAAATTAAAAAATGAAAATGTTTTTGGCCACTTTTTTCTTGTCATGTTGAGACAGGCTAGCAGTAAGCTGAAAGTGTTATCATTAAATATATTGATAATGTGTTGGAAAAAATTCTTTACAAGAAAAATAAAAAATAAAAATGATTTGCTAATAAAATTGTGGAAACATAAGTTCTCAATTTGTGTATTAACTTACACAATTGTAATAATATTATTAGTGGAAGCAGCAAAAAATGGATTTATGAATGCAAAATTTCAATATTGTGTGACAACAAAGACAAAAACTAAATGGTATTATGATTATAATTATTATGGCTATTAATATTTTACTTACTTTATATTAACAATACATGAAATAAACACAAAACAAATACACAAGCTATTCAAGATCAAAGTAAATTTATCATAGATCTATTGATTACAAATTAAAACTGTTAAAAATCCATGAATTTGTGAACTGTTTATGTAAAACAGTTGCAATCACTTCAATCTGAATTTAGGGATGTCACCATCCAAATCCTTCAAACTCTTAAATAACTTGTTTAGTAGTTACAACTTTGCCCAGCAATCTTTCAGGCACTAAATTTCTCTCTCTTGTTAGGTTGCAAGAGTTGGTGCATACTTGAAAATCTTTGTAACCTAATTCTTTTACAGATGTTCTTAATTGTTATGAGTCGGGATTTATAAGCAGAAAAATTGACTATAATGTCATAAAACATCATTATACACATAATGCAATGCTGAATGACAAAATCAAATTATTGTAATTTAATTTGAGTACATTATTCATGAAAACAAAATAAGTATTTGTTAATAAGCTATATAAAGTATGTGATAATAACGACTAAGGAGGTTTTGCAAATTTTTGCCCCTAAAATATGCATGCAAATACACCAAAAATGTTGAAATATCCATAGAAATGTTAAAAATAGCATTTTGTTAGGTAGGCATATGTTTTGTAATGACATTCCATATTTTTGGCACCTATATATATTATAGAGATCTTTCTCTATGCCCTATGAATGCCAAAATAAAAAGATTATCAACACTGTAAATTTTATTTTGTATTAAGAACTCACTATCTTCACTCACCCTTCTATCAAACAGATTCATTTTGTCGTTAGAAAAAGACACGTCCGTATCACATGATGTGATGTACACAAATTTGTATTTAACACATTTGTGCTAAATACATTTTCTGAAAGGTAGGCAAAAATGTATTTTACGGAAAAAGTATTTTCTCATTTGAGAATGACCTTCCTATTTTATCGATTACCATTCTATATTTACTCCAGGGCCGGATTTAAGTAGTGCGGGGCCCCAAGCACAAAATTGTGTTGCCCCCCCCCCCCCCCCCCGAAAAAATAGCTTCGTCTTTAATAAATAAAAAAATGTATTATAGTACAAGTACTTTCTGTACAGATACAAATGAAAACTGACCTTTTATAGACATTTTTACTTGTGTTACATTTTTTTTACATTAAATACATTTTACATATTTTTTTTCTGCTCTTCTGAAAAATTTAAATATTCAGTTATAAGTAAAGGAAATAAAGTAGAGTTAATATTAGACTAATTTAACATGTAATAAATATTTTCAAAAAATGATTTGAAATTGTACGTTTTGTTACAGTGTAGACTACTTGATTAACAATTACTTCACAGACAAAAAAATATGGTATGC